GAAGCGGCTGGTCAGGGAGGCCATGCGCGGCCGACTTCCGGCGGAGGTGCTGGCGCGCGAGAAGACGCCCCTCGCCTGTTATCCGGAGGTCGCCACCCTGCGTGCAGTCGGCTTGCCGGTGCTCCCCCGGGCCGGTCTGGTGGGTTACTATGTCGATCCCACTCTGCTCCCGAGCCAGGCAGCGCCGGATCCCGATCTGGCCCTGTCGCTCGGCGTCCATGCGCTCGACTACTGGTTGGCGCGGGAACGCCAATGATGCTCTAGAATCAATGGTTTATTGAATTTGCCCGGCAAGGAAACAGTTGCTAGGCTTGCTCTGCACGTCCCAGGATCGAAGGCATGAACGGGTCCCCGGCCACCTATCGGAAATCATCACGTCAAGTTTCCTGCAAGATCAATGACGAGGTCGCGATCTTGGACTTGGAGCGGGCGATCTACTTTGGTCTTCGGGGTGTTGGCGTTCATATCTGGGACTCACTGGAGCAACCGCGATCGGTCGCCGATCTTTGTGCTTCGGTGATGGCTGAATTCGATGTACCAGAAGCCACCTGCCGAGTGGACATCGTGCAAATTCTTGGAAATCTCGAGGCCGAAGGCCTTGTCGAGGCGATGCGATAGAGTCCCGTTAGGGTGAAAGGCCGATCCGTGACGGACAATTCGATGCATAGCGATGAAGCGGTACGAGACGTATCCGTCGAGAAGAAGCTCTACGAGCGGCCGGTCCTCACCAAATTGGGCGCGCTGCGCGACGTCACGCTTACCGAAAACACATCCAAGGGCAATCGCGACGGCCGCAAGAATCGCTACACGGGCCGCGAGGGCCTGAATGGGCTTTCCCGGGATTGCGCTCCCTTAGCCTTTCCCTGTCGTTGACTCCGCCGGTCACGAGGTGACGGCGGAATTCGAGGTTCTCCGTGAGGCGTCACGACCGCGCCCGGACCTGGGCCGCTTCAGGGACCTGCTTCGCCAAGGCGTAAACTACGGGGCGCTCGAAGCACTGGCCGCCTCCCATGGAGTCCGGCCGGCCCTGCTCGATTGCCTCGGCCGGATTTCCTGGGAAACCGTGCCGCCGGTCGACAAGGCGGCTCTCGAGCGCTTCCGCCAGTACCATCTGGCCAGGACCCTCTCGCTCGCCGGCGATCTCAACCGGCTGGCTGCCGCCTTCTCCGAGCGTTCGATCCGTTTCGTCGCCTTCAAGGGCCCGACGCTTTCCCTAGCACTCCATGGCGGCCTAGCCGGGCGCGAATACAACGACCTCGACCTGATCGTACCGCCGGAGCAGGTGGACGCCGCCGAGGACGTCATCGTCTCGATGGGCTATCTGAGCCCGCAAGGTGACCGGGCCTTCCGCCGGGCGTTCCTGGCACCGCAGCGGCAATACGCCTTCGTCCGCGATGAGATCGGCACCGCGATCGACCTGCATTGGGCATTCAGCGGCCGCCATGTCCCCTTTCCGCTCTCGCCGGACGATGCCTGGGACGACCCCGTGCCGTTGAGGGTCGGCGATCGCACAGTACCGGTCCTGTCGGCGTCCAACCTCGCTCTCCTGCTGGCCGGGCACGGCACGAAGGAAAGCTGGGCGATGCTGAAATGGGTGAGCGATTTCGCCCGGCTGGTCGACCTTCACCCCGATCTCGACTGGGCCAGCCTCCATCGGCGCGCCAGCGATCGCCGGTGCGGCGACGCGGTCCTGCTCGCCTGCT